TGATTCAAACTGAGAAGAAAAGGCATGCCGAAGCTGAAGGTAGCAGAAAAGGTGAGTGTTAGGCAGACCAAACCTGTTTTAGAGCATTGAAGGATCTAAGAGTGCCCCCTTCACAGATGTGTTCCAAAGTTTTGATACCATGGGAGGCCCACACCCTGGGATCAGAAATGGACTGGAATTCCTGGAGTCATGGATTAAGCCATAAAGGAGTATCAGGTGACCAAGTGCCACTGATATGAGGTAGTTTGTCTAGAACCCACTGCCAAGCTCTAATCTTCATAGACAGAGTGAAAAAGGAGCCCAAGTGCCTCATAAGACCCCAAATGAGCCACCTATAACACTACTGAGTTAGAATTATCCAAAACCAACCAGTTATGGGCATGAGTAAGCAGGGTCGCTACAAAATAAGCCTGGAAGTCCAAGGACGCCAACCCACCCCGAGTCCAGGGCCTACATAGGGTCACCCTACTGAATCTTAGGGCACCCAACCCCCAAAGAAAGGATGAGATTAGGGAGTCAAGCTTCGCAAAAGAAGGCTTTCGATATCAAATGGGAAAGTGGCACAGAGTATACAACCATATAGGGAGGATTTTCATTAGCCCATGCCTTCAACTGTAGTTTGGTAGAAGATAAAACGGGGCATAAGTTTAATTTAATGTATTCAGTCACATCCAGAGAAATAATCCCAAGATAACACAGGGAGGCAGTCCAGGGTAAGGGAAGGGATACATCCGCCTTTTTTTTTTGGCCTCTCGGTCAATAGGTAGTATAAAAAGTGACTTAACTCAGTTCACTCTCAGGCCAGAGAAGTCTGCAAAGCGGGATAGGATACTTAATGATCCAGGTCCCTCCCTTCGGGAAGCTTTAGGAAAACACAATCAGCATACAAAGCTAATTTTTCAGTTATGGTACCCACATGAATGCCCCAGACCATATCAGACTGTTGCAAGGCAGCCGCCAAGAGCTCCATCACCAGAGCAAAAAGAGATGGAGACAAGGGACAACTCTATCACGTACCTCTACCTTTGGGGAAGGCCTGAGAGAGCATACCCGCCCAACCTAATTTGAGCCATCAGTGTCTTGTATAATATCCCAATCCACTTACAGAATAAGGGACCAAACCCCAAAACCTGGAGAATTACAGACATATACTGCCAGCATACAGAGTCAAATGCCTTTTCTATATCAAGGGCCACCAGCACTCGACTTCCAGAATCCTCAGCAGTGAGTTGGAAATGAGTAAGTACCCGACAAAGGTTTACCCTGCATGAAACCCGTCTGATCAATATCTATTGCAGATGACACCAAGCTGTGCAGTGGAATAACGTCCTTACAGGATGTCTCCAACTTACAAACCGATCTCAATGCACTCTTTAAGTAAGCAACTGTGGCAAATTAGGTTTAATGTTGATAAACGCAAGTTTACGCACTTGGGGGCTAAGAATATGAGTAGCATATATACGGGGGGGGGGGGGGGTACAATGGTGGAGAAGGATCTGGGAGTTCTGGTAGATCACAAGCTTAATAATGGTATGCAGAATGTTTCTAAAGCAAGCAAATATCCTCTCATATTAAAAAGGTATAGACTCCAGAGAGATATTCTACTCCTGTACAAATTAGTAAGCCTCATCTGGAATATGCAGTTCAGTTTTGGGCACCAATTTACAAAAAGAACATTGGGGAACTAGAGAAAGTACAGAGAAGGGCAACCAAACTGATAAGAGGCATGGAGGAGCTCAGCTATGAGGAAAGATTAGAGGAACTGAATGTATTCTCTTGAGAAGGAGATTAAGGGGGATATGATCAACATGTATAAATACATCAGTGGTTCATATAGTGAACTCCGTGTAGAGTTATTCACCTTGAGGTCATCAGAGAGGACAAGGAGGCACGCTTTGTATTTGGAGATTAAATCTTCCAGATGTATAGTGTTCTTCACAGTGAGAGCTGTGAAAATGTGGAATAGACTCCCTCAAGAGTTGGTTCTGGCCAGCTCAGTCAATTACTTTAAAAAAAGGCCTGGATTCTTTCTTGGTTACACAGAATATAACTGGTTACTAACATTTACAGGTAAAGTTGAGCCAGGGAATAACAGATTGCCTCTCAGGGGATCAGGAAGGAATTTCTTTTCCCCTGCAGGAGCAAATGGGATCATGCTTTGCTGGGTTTTCTGCCTTCCTCTGGATCAACTGTGGGTGTAGGATAACTTTTTTTTTTATGGTTGAACTGGATGGACTTGTCTTTTTTCAGCCAGACTATGTAACATTTTTCCATGTGGTGCTATTGCTGACATGAAATGGGAAGGGGTTTTCGTTAAGTAACACCTTTTTATAATCAACTGTCTCCTGGACACCTGTTTAATGAATAATTAGACTCACCTGAAGTTAAATTCTTAATTAGGAACAAAGAATTTTAGACAACAAAATCCTAAGATTTTAATTGGGGTGTGCATTTCTGAAACATGGTCTTTAATGAATTTTGTTAGGAAAAATACTGTTGTGTGTGAAAATTAACAAATCTTGGTTGCAATCAACAGCCTGAATTTGTAGGAGTGGAAATGGAAGCAAGGAAGGAAGGAAGGAAGGAAAGAACCAAGCAGGCTTGTTACGAGAGGGGTTATGGACCCTTGGAGCTGGCCTCCCAATTTTTGAGCCTAGGGTCCAATCAGAAGGATTCAGAAGGAATGTAGCAGAGAATAACCCATTATCTACATATGTGAAGTGCTGCATTCCCTCAATAGAGGGGAAACCCCCCCAAAAAAACTGACGTTTTTCAATAAAGGTGTATACCAAAAAGGAGTCTAGCAACATAGGAAAATAGAGCACACAAATGCCAATTAACACATTTTAAACAACTTGTAACCTGTAGAACATAAAAGTAGGGAGACTCTTCTGTTGTGACTACTCCCTTCCCTAAGATTTCTTTGGACATACTGTTGAATAAAACCGATTGTTAGCCATGAGTGCTATGCTTGCACTTTCCAAGAAATTGCCACCCTGAAGAGTATCACATTGATCCAAATACTTAAAGCAGAACTCCAATTGATGGGAAAAAAAAAAAAAAAAAAAAAAAAAAAAAAAAAAAAAAAAGGTACTTTAGCAAGGAACATACATTTAACATTAGTAATTATGCAAGCAAAATTAGCATGTGCTGTAAATTGTTCCAGCCTTGTTCCGGTTTCTTCTCGCTGGAGGCTGCTATTTTGTTGAAGCCCAGAACTCCAATCAGTAGTCAAAGCAGAGCTAAACCCTCCTATCCTTTTCAGCCAGAGAAGTTGCCATCTGTGTGAACTGCAACTGCCATGGCGCTTTACATATGATCAGTTATAACACCAGCCAATTGATGGTTTGACAGCTTGAGAACACAAGCAATTGAGACAGTTAGCATTCCTGACGTGCCAGGAATGTAACTTTTTTTTTAAACTTAAATCAATGGATTTAGTTCTGCTTTAATATCCTTAGACTGTCAGCAGATCGGCCTCCACAAAGCCAGCACAGTGCCTAAAAATGCCTAAAATTGAGAGCAACTGAGCATGTGCAGAACAGGGTGGGACAGTATTACTGGATTTTAAAAACAATATAGAGACTTAATGTTTTACATAGCTATACCTACAAAATACATAAATTTACTGACTAAAGTTCCACTTAAAAGTGCATCCCAAAACTCAAAATGTTTCAGCCCGAGTCTGAAAAACCCCAGTCAGGGTTTACCTATTGGGAGACAGGTGATTTCCCCTTTATTCAGTTATTAATAGTCACAACAAGAATGAGGCGAAATCTCTCCAAAAATGAGCCAAAACCCCCTCTCAAGACTTGGCACTAGAACAGGTAACCCCATTAAAAGATTTCCCCTCCTATTCCAGTAACAAATTCAAACTCTCACATTTTGTCTTGATGGAAGGGGGGGGAAATTGGACTGAAGATGTACGTTATTCACCTGACAGCTTCTCAGATGCTGCATGCAATACAATTGTTTTGAAACCCTTAAGAAGATGCATGTATGCAAGGGGCAACTCATACCCTATTCAAGAGGTATTGGCACAAAACTAGAGAAACTTACTGCAGACCTAAACCATCTAAGCATTAGGTCTCCACTATAATAACTGGACATGAAGACGTTACCCAGCTAGTTTTTTGATTCACACGTCTAAAACATCTCAAAAGATCTTAAAAGTTTATTGGTTTTCTGGAGCTTGTTTACAATTCCACAAACCACGTCATTGCAAATTATAATGTAGAAGTATGAAAAACTAATTAAAAGTTTCACATCTCCAAGTACTTCGTTCACAAGTTTATTATGAAAAAATCCACTGCTGCATTTGGACTGCAACATTTACAGAAAATGTTCTGGTCAAAACTAACATTAAACAATGAATGGGGATTGAGAGGCAGAAAGAACGCAAACTTGAAGAAAACAAAAAAAAAAAAAAAAAAAAACTGTGGGTATGGGTGAGAAATTAAATTAAGATTGTATTCCCTGAAAATAAACATTTCTGTAGTCACAAGAGAGGCAATGTAGGCCTTAGTACTTATTCTCTGAAAGGTCCTTAAAATCCCTTCACACCAACTGCAGAGGCTGCAGGCCTCTAATCAGGATAAAGGGTTTGCCAGACAGTGTCTATCCTTATCTACAATCATGCCGAGTAAAGCTAATTACTAAATGGAAAGTTAAATTGTATTCACGAGGTGTTAATGTATACATTTTAAGTTGTATTTTTTGCAGTCTGAGAAAGCAAAACTACAAGTAGTGCTATGCCAGGAAACTGGGAATTTCTCATTTTGACAATGAGATTTCAGCATGCAATGAACTGAGTCTTTTCTAATATCGTCAGGGGCTGCTGGGACGAGAGGCTTTTCTTTAGTATATGGCACATCTTTTGGTCCATTTGAGAACAGTACATGTGTGACAAATGCTCTCTCCTGACTCAAATTTCAGATTCTTTCTCGGCTCCGAGGTCAATATCCTGCTTGTGGCAATACTGTACAAGTGTGAAATCCTCTTTAGAGAAAATAGTCTGGGGTGCGACGGGTAACATGTGGTTCTCCTCTGCGCGGTGCTGGATCAAACTGCAAGCTAGAAAAAGAAAAAAACAAAAACGTTATACATGCCTTTAGTACAGAGTTAAAAGAAAAATTTAAAGATAACACTCATTTACACCGGCAAGTTCTAGACCATAGATTGCAATGTGACAATGCATGTTGTAAAATAAGATAGATAAAATTATGCATGGCGTAAAGCAGACAAAATCTCGAGCACCAAAGCACAGCAATTTTGTAAATGGTCAGCATCATTTTGCACTTCCATTGCATAACTTTGCAAGCCATCTAATATGCTGTCAGAGAATGTAAGAAATTGTTAGGGGCTTCAACAGCAAGTTGGCAGGCTGTATAAACAAGGTAGAGCTGTGACACTGAAGGCTACCCAATTTCTACAGGGTTACCTTACAGGTTTGTTTAATAAATACCACATACATACAATGGTGTACAAAAGACACTACAACAATGTACCAGATCACTTTAGGTAGCAGGGATGTTCTGCTCTGTCTCAGCTAGTGCAAGGTAGACTTATGGTGGCGGTCAGAGTAGTGTGATGTGCTCAGAGAGGCCCAGAAATACAACTGATTGTGCTAGGCTTATTTCACCTTTTGTACGCTTAAAACGGTGAAGGTGCTGAAAACTGCTGCAGTGTCCAGTGTATGTTGAAATAGATAAAAGTTGGCTGCCTGCAAATTGGGGAGCTCAAGTCCTTAAATGGGAAAAGTTTTCACAAAGCCCCAAATGATCCACAATGGCTGAAAATTGATACAGTCCAGAAACACCTAGACAAAAAAAAAAAAAAAAAAAGAAAGGGGAATAAAGCACCTGGACCAGGTGGCTTACACCAATGGTCCTCAGGGTAGAGCGCTTAATTCTAAGCCAGGCCAATGACTGGCTATGATCACTGGATTGGCACAAGGCCAATGTGGTGCCTATATTAAAAAAAAAAAAAAAAAATTGTATCAGTCTTTACCTAATAGCTGCAGACCTGTGAAATTTAACATCTATAGTCTGAGGATACTTTAGTATAATAAAAAGACCACATTAATTTATTGCTAGAAAGTTGTCAAAACAAATGGAAGGACAGACTTGTTTCTTTTTTCCCCAATTTCTTAGATTGTAAGCTCCAAGGAGCAGGGCCCTCCTAACCCTCTTGTATTGAACTGTATCATTGCTGTATTGTCTAGTGCTGACTGTTGGATTATTATCCCTATCAAACTGTTGGATTATGAATAATAATAATCCAAGTATCCAAATCCTAGCATAGGTGGCAGTATAGCTTAAGTATGGAGTAAGCAGCTGTCCCCGTCCATAAACAATGGAAAGCCTTTTTAGCCATTTCTAAAAAGGGAAGCCTTTAAAAAAGTCAGGCCAAAAGATTTTCTGGAATATGGTAGTTGTGACTAGACCTGCATGAATGGGCTTTTGTACACATCAGAACTGCTCTCCATATACAAGTCAAAAATGCAAAATCTCCTCCTAACAGGTTAATGCAGCTTACAAGGATGGCAAATGCAGGTCAAAAAGGAGGTCAACTGCTGGTGAAACCGAACAGCCAATGAACTGTGAATTATTTAAAGACCTTTCAAATGCAAGCAAAATGACCCTGGAAGCAAGCTGTATTTTTTTGATCAAAATCCAAAATCCTGTGCACTTGTCCTCTGACAGGGTGCTGAATTGGACTTGCCCCATAAATAAATTAATGCTTGCAATACTGGAATTGGACACTAAACTGAGCATCCATCTCAAGCACCTCAAATATAAGCCATTTCGACTCTTGGGCTGCAAGGAGAGGTCACCAACATAGAATTACAGTGCATCCAGCAAATCTGATAAATGTTTTTTCCATTAGGTATGTAGCTTGACAGTCCAATTCACTAAAAACCTACCTAACCTTTGGATTTCTGAACACAATTTATGAATTAAAAGATTTTGCCTTAAATCTTAAAGTATATTCACTTCACAAGTTAACATTTACAATAAATTAGATTTGATTTTATACTTACAAGGAGTATTTAAGAGTATCATCAAGTTCCATTATTGCAGCTTGATTCCCGCAGCGGTAACAATAATTTGGAGCGCTAAAGATGGTTACTACATTCCGGTCATGGCACCAGTTGTATCCCTATTACACAAAGGCATCATTTTAATCAGTGGACAATGAAATCATCAGAGCTATTGATAACTATGGTACAGTTTTTAAAGGGGTTAGTTTGTCATTCAACTTTGCTCCCTATTTACAAGGGCTGACCATCTGGGCTTTTTCCAAAGAATTTATGTCTCATGCATATCACTGACATATTTTGAAATCATTTTTACTCCACAGCAATGGTGGGAATGCTGATCACCACATATGCTGTGCAGCAAAAAAAAACAAAAAAAAAAAAAAACAAAAACAAAAACAAAAAAAAAAAAAACAGTACTGACTGCAGCAAAAAATGAATGCTTGGGGAGGGGGGTTGAGTCTGAAAAGCAGAGGAGAGGAAGAAATGAAGACCAGCAGGAAACGTAAAGGCCAACTCCAGATTTACAACAGGTTATATCTGTTCTGAGGGTGCAAAGCTTTGCAGGCTGTTTTTTGAAAAAACCACACACACTTTTAAGCCCATTTTAAATTTTGCGCAAGTATCAGTTTTTTGTTACAGTACATTTAGTAGTCAATACGCACCTCCATCACCAACTGATGGGCTCTAGAAACCAAAGTAAGGCCATTGGCATGGTTAAATGTTTCAGAAATATCCTGTCCAAATGTGTAGCCAGCACCTCTTGGAGAAATACCCCAGCCACCACGGTCATCTGGGTCAGACCACAGCAGGTCACACATAGGACCCTGTAAACAGGAAAAAGAAAAAAAAAAATGTTCTTTAATACTTTTCTTCATGTACAGCCTTTAAAATTATCAAAGCAAAAATGTACACGTTAACGATTTAAAAACCTAAGCAACAAAAAAGTAACACTTTTGCAAACCAAAACACATGAAACTGTCAGTGTTTTATTTTATTTTTTTTAATTACTTTAAAAACAGAAGTTAGACCATTTACAGATATGGGCTCAATATTTTTTATTTCAGGTACTTATTATAGTCAATTTACACAGCGCCACACACACAAGTCCCTAACCCTTAAGGGGTGTACAATCTAAGGTCCCCAACTTACATTCTTACACATACTAGGGCCAATTTAGACAGGATCCAATTAACCTACCAGCATGTCTTTAGAGTGTGGGAGGACACCAGAGTACCCGTAGAAAACCCACACAAGCACAGGGAGAACATGCAAACTCCAGGTGGGTGGAGCCGTGGTTGAGATTCAAATCAATGACCCTAGTACTGCCAGGCGGAAGCGATAACCATTTAGCCACTGTGCTACAGAGTATCATACATATAGGAGAATGCTTTGTCATATAAAGAGGCATTAACTTCTAAAAAGGGAACCCTGAAAAAACTCCACTCCAAAAAAAAACAGGTTACTGAAGAGTGTCCTGAAAATATGCAGTGAAAGACCAGACCATAGAGAGGGGGTCCAGGGATAAAAATGAACAAATGTGGTGGTCTATTCCCAGATATAGTATTAAGTGAATTACCAAAATTCTTAAGCATAAAAACAGTTTGAGAAGCGCTTTCAGGAGTGGGGAGGGCTTGGTGGTGGGGGTGGGAAGAAAAGCAGAAGAGAGGAAGGGAAAATAGAGGAGAAAGTGTGGAAGGGGCAGATAAACCCGGGACCCCTGTCAAAAGGAGAGAGATGAGGGGCATTCCTTTCCTGGGTAGGAGACTGAAAGGCATGGGCTTTGAGTCACTGGGTGGTAGCCAGCTCATCAATGTAGGCATCTGTATATATGAAATTATGCTGGGGCCTCCAAGTTTCAGTAAACACTTCCTCTGTATTGTGCAGCATGGCCGTGAGGTCTTCCATGTCCCCAAAGTGCATTGACTTTTGTAAACCACAGAGCTTTCGTCGGCAGGTTGACATCTCTAGGGGAGGGGGGATGCATGTTTTAGCAGCATTCAAGAGTTGCATAGTAAGGGAGTTCTTATACTTTCTAGTAGGTCTCTGTCAGGTGCAGCAGGCAGGCCAACCACAGTGAATTACTTGATAGTGGTCACTACTTGCCAGAAAGGCTGAATTCGTGGGCACTGCCAGAAAATGTGGACCATAGATCTCCCCCCCCCCCCCCCACACTACAGCACCAGAAGGAGATGGATATCAGAGGCGAAATGGGGTGAAGCATGGCAGGGACCTTATATCACCTGGTAAGAATTTTGTAGTTGGTTTTCTGAAGCCGCGAGGTGATCGAGGATTTGTGAGAGAAGTAGAAGAGAATTCTCTGAGCTGTGCCACAAGTTGTAGACCAAGGTTTGCCTCCCATCTGGCCAGAAAGGGCAGTACAAAGTCAGCTCCAGGATGGATCAGGGAAGCATATATCTGGGAGAGGGAGTGGCGTACATGTTCCCCCTATGACACAAGGACTCAAAACCTGTAAGAGGGCTGGAGTGCCCAGTGAGCATCAGCAGAGAAAAGCAGTCGGAGCCCACTCCAAAAATCCAGGGGAGGGTCAGCAAGTCAGGTAAAGTCCGTGGAAGTGATCCTGTATTTTAACTGCTTACCCTCTGCCCTATAGCAGAACTACTGCTACAGAGCTGCACAAAATCACGTATTTGTAGCCGCTGGCAGCTACAGAGGTTGATCACTGGGTCCTGGCCGGAGATTCCCTGCCGTTACCCAGCGATCGTCAAGGAACAGTGACAGGGGAGAGACCTGTGTGTAAACACATTTCTCTCCTGCCAGCAGAGACATGCTGCTGTGTACTTCTCTGCACAGAAGACACAAAATTTAATTTAGGTGCAGTGTTGCATGACCACACAATTGTCAGCTAAAGACTCGTAATGCCATATTGCATAAAATAGCCTGGTCAGGAAAGGGGGGGGTGTAAATCCTCTGGAGGGCAAGTGGTTAATTCTTAGCACAGCAGTCACTGAACTACCAACAGAATGAAAAACAAAAAGTTCTATAGCCTGGTAGAAGTGAATAGAAATATTCATGGCAATGCTCTTTAACCACTTCACGTCTGAGGAAATTTTTAAAGTTCTCACTAGAAGAATTAGAACCCCCAAGAATTCTGTAGTTTCTGAAAGCAGAGCTCCTGAAGAATAAAACAGTGGCCATTGCAAATTATTAAAATATAATAACACATTAGGACTACATTACGTGTGCCCTTCAAATGGCAACAAACTACTGAAGAGTACATGAATTCTGGCCCTAGAATTATTGCTGCAGAAATATCTCACATGTGGTGCAAATAGTTTACATACATGTGCAGGACCTCCATGCACATTTGCTTGTTTTTTTTAAATCCAAAATGTTTTAAATGGCCCAAGGACGTAAAGAGGTTAAATAATTACTCTTACTTTAAAAAAAAAAAAAAAAAAAAAAAAAAAACCACAAAGCACAAAAACCTAAAAAGCAGTGCATTTGTTTTCAGAGATTGGGACAGTTCTCTGTACCATGAATAACGGCAAAATAAAAAAAAAACACATACGTTTTAATACAACCCCAACAAGATATAAAGCAAATAGCCCCCACTTCCTGTCTTGAGACAAAGTGAGAGCTCCACCTTTTCCAGGCACAAGCGGATTGAATAAACTGGTTAACTATATGATCAGTAACACAATCACCATGTCAGCTTATCCAAGCTACAGATCCTTATTGACAGGACAGTGTGGCAATGCACAGAGGTACTGCATAATCTAGGCATAAAAACCTATATTCAATTGTTTAGTGGTTATTAACCATTTGCCGCCCGGCCTGTAGCTGTTTGGCGGCCGCAAAAATGCATTAGCTTTCCGGGGTGTACGCCATTTGGCGTCCTCCCGCACATGCGCAGTTCGCGCGGTTGCAGCGGCGCTATTTGTCACCGGCCGTGTACCTCTGACACGGCCGATGACAGATCTGAGTACTGGCCCCTGTTGCCGGTATCATGTGACCTGCTGTGACCAATCACAGCAGGTCACATGACAGTTGTATACAATGGATGGCTTCATTCATGCCATCCATTGTATACTAGTGTCTAGCTGTGAACGGTAACAACAGGTCACATGCACATGTCATGTGATTAGCTGTGGCCAAATCACAGCTAAGCACAAAAAAAAAAAAACCCTGAATGAATCAATGTCATTCAGGTAAATGCTTATAGCAAAGTAATTCTTTGCTATAAGCAAATTGTGTTAAAAAAAAAAAAAAAAAAATACTGATCACTTCCCCAAAGTAGTACAATGTTACTATGGTAACATTGTACTACTTTGATCATAGTAAAATATATTAAAAAAAAAAAAAAAAAAAAAAAAAATATATATTTTTTTCCCATACTGTCACCAGTCAGTGTCCCTGTTCACCACCATGCCAGTTATATGATGATGCTGTACTGCACTGGTGACAGTATGTAAAAAAAAAAAAAAAAAAAAAAAAAAAAAAAAAAAACTTCAAAAAAAAAAAAAACTCACCATTCCTGAAGTATGTTGGACTGTCTACTTTACAAAAGGGGTCATTTGGGGGATATCTGTACTGTTCTGACATTCTTGGACCTCAAGAAATTAGATTGGTTGTCAGTACTTCAGGATTGATCAATTTTCAGATCTATACCATAGTTTGTAAACTTTCCTACAAACTAAATACATCCTAATTTGGGTTATTTTCACCAAAAGACATGTAGCAGAATACATCTTGGCCTAAATTTATGAAGAACAATTATTTATTTGTAAACTTTTATAACAGAAACAAAGAAAAACGTTTTTTTCTTCAAAATTTTTGGTCTTTTTTGTTAATTTAGCGAAAAATAAGAACTCCGGCGGTGATTAAATACCACCAAAAGAAAGCTCTAGTTGTGTGAAGAAAATGATAAAATTTTTTGTTTTTGGGTACAATTTTGTATGACCGCGCAATTGTCATTCAAAGTGTGAGAACGTTGAAACCTGAAAAATGGCCTGGGCAGGAAGGTGTAAAATTGCCCGGTATTGAATTGGTTCAGACTGAATGCTCATTACCAGGTTATTGTAAATCTGTCGTTATTGACCAAAAAGCCCAAAAATAAGCTGCAGAGGTATCCACACATTTTATTAAACAAAATCATATCACAAATCTAGTCATTTCAGTTGTGGAAATCAGTTTTCAAAGATATGCCAATACCTCATGTGGAACTTCCTGCAGGCGATCAAGTGCCCGAATATGATCCAGTGTATCTATTGAAGGGGACAATCCTCCATGTAAACAAAATATCTGCAGAGAAAAGATTACACAATTGTTGAAAGAAAAAAAAAAAAAAAAAAAGCATATTATGATTTGGGGGGGGGGGGGGGGGGTTGGGTGTATAGAAAAAAAAAAAAAAACCCCACATCCATGCAGATTCAGTACAGCTCTGCAATACAAGGACCATGGGTCTATGAAACATGCCCTACAAAGCTTCAACGTTCCTAGGGCATATCTCCTTTTCACTTGTTTTCCTACCACACTAGCAGGTAAATCCCAGCTTTCAAAAAGGACAGTCAAGACTAGCCCTGTATTACAGCAGTGACTACAGTAGCCCTCTGTGTAAAAAGACACTTGCAGATAATTCCTGAAAGGGTCATTTAGAAAATTAAAAAAAAAAGGATAACACTGCATTTGACAGGATCCACAGTTTTCTTTGGACCTAAAGAGATGGGAACATTTAAGGGTAAATAAGGGGGGGGGGGGGGGGGGAAAAAAAAAAAAAAAAAAAAAAAAAAAAAAAAAAAAAAGCAGTAAATAAGTGCTTTATGGTTCAAAGATTGAAACAGACCCAAAAGTGTTGCTAAAACCACAACAGTAAAATAAGTCTGTATATGCAGTAACGCTAAGGGGTTAATCCTTCTCATTGTGTAAAAAGGTTTGATCCTGTCTTCTCTGATCCTCCCCCCTTCTGCTGTCCCCAGTCGATCTGCTGATCAAACAGACTTGGGAGCAAGCTGCACATGCTCAGTTTGGTATTACTAGAGAGGTTTTTCTTCTTGGGAGAGTGCATGTGATCAGCACAAGGCCAATCAGCGCTGTCCAAACAGAGGGTCAGGGGTAATGCAGCCTCACAGGAAAAGCAGGGGAGAATGAAAACTCCTTCTACAGTGCTATGCTAGACACTGATGGAAGTCACAAGACTGCTCTATCTGCTGATGAGAAAAATGTATTAAGCAGTTTTTATTTACGAACAAAATTGCATTTCCATGTTTTTAGTGGTAGACCAGATCTTGTGAATGCAGGGTCCTGGGTTTAGTAATACTTTAAATGCTGAAAGGGACTACCCCTCTAAAGCAAATCCACTACCCTTCTGTTAAGGCACACTGAAGGCATAGTGCCAAAAATCAAACTTTAGAAAGCCTACATTTTCAGCTGTGTGTACATCAGGATCTACACGTGTTTTCACTGAAGATGAATCTATGCATTTTTATCATAGGTTAATAGAATTTCCTGGGTTTCCATGCTACCTGGCCTTTGAAAGCCATAAAAAATAGGTAGGGGATCAAACTATATACAAATCAAAATAAAGCGAGTCCACAGATCAGGTTTACGCATTGCAATCGTGTATACAACATAACATGTCATGTTGCTTGTAAGTATATTTATAATTACCCCACCTTTGTAACATACTAGCAACAAAATGTTGGTCCCTAAAGCATATTTGCCAGTGGAACAGATACTGATCAATGGTCATAAAAGGATTTTTAAAATACCCTTGTGTTTGTGTGATTATAGTCAGTTAAGTGTGGTAGCTTCAGATTTTATTAAAAATGTCAAGTAGACAAACAGGTTATTTGGGTTAAGAGAATTGTAATATCTTGGTCGTTTAATTTATGTCCATACCTGACCATCCACTAAGGCAGTTAACGGAAGGTAATCAAACAGGTCTGTAAAGTATTTCCATACATTTGCATTTCCATATTTCCTTAAACATTCATCATAAAACCCATATACTTGTGTAATTTGCCTGCTTTCATGATTTCCCCTTAGAATTGTAATACGTTCACGGTAGCGAACCTGCAAAAGGCAAGAAAAAAAAAAAAAAAACAAACATTTAAATATGCTACAAGCTAAATACAATCTAAAAAACATTTACCAAAAGCTACTCGAAGGGTATGTCAATGTTTTAGTCTGAAGAAATGCTGCTTGCTGTCCTTTCATATACCACAAATGAATTCAGTGGACAAACTGCCTGCTGTGACAGACCAAAACGAGTTTCTGACAGTTCAATAGAAAGACCCATAGTTGTCTCAACCATAAAGGCCATTCATAGCAACCTAAGAAATGTAATGATACTGGGTTTTAGGTTTCTTGCAGAATAAGAATGTGTTCAACAGAAGACAAGCAGCCTTTCATTTCTCAACAAATTTGAATTCCATGGACATTTCTTTGTGCTAGGACTCTTCGAACAATCCTTTTAAAAAAAGGATGTATATGGAATGTTCGTGCAGTAGACAAAACTAATTTTGTGGATAAACATTTACCAACATACAACTTACTGTTATTTCAAAGCCACTATGCTTTCTAGTTTTTAGGGTCTCTTTAATGACTGGCATAGTACCACTGGATTGACGTAAGGCCAATGCAGTGCCAATATTTAAAAAAAAAGGGTCAAAATCTTTACCAAGTAATTATAGACCTGTTTAACATTTATACTGTAGTTGGGAAGATACTGGAGAGTTTAATAAAAGACCACATAGATGAGTTCTTGCTGGAAAAAAATATTTTAAAGCAACAGACAGCATGGATTCATGAAAGACAGGAGTTGTCAAACAAATCTGATTTCTTTTTATGAGGTGAGCAAAACCTTGGACAGAGGGGTGGCGGCGAATGTGGTATACTTGCATTTTGCAAAAGCGTTTGACAGTTCCCCAAACATGGCTAATGTGTAAGGTAAAGTCTAAAGGCTTGGAAAAATCCGTATGTAAAATGGATAAAAGACCGTATTCAGAGAGTAGTGGTTAATGATTCATACTCTGAATGGTCTAGGGTTGTCAGTGGTGTACCCCAAGGTTTAGTGTTGGGACCCTTACCTTTTTAATATATTAATGATATAGGGTCTGGGATTAAAAATACCATTTCAGTCTTTGCAGATGACACCAAGCTGTGCAGTGTAATAACGTCCTTACAGGAAGTCTCCAAATTTCAAGCCGACCTCAATGCACTGTTTAATTGGGCAACCATGTGTGGCAAATGAGGTTTAATGTTGATAAATGTAAGGTTATGCACTTGGGGGCCAAGAATATGCATGCATCATACATACTAGGGGGAGTACAACTGGGGGAATCAATGATGGAGAAGGATCTGGGAGTTGCGGTTGATCACAAGCTTAATAATGGCATGCAATGCCAAGCTGAAGTTTCTGAAAAGAGCAAGATCCTCTTGTATTAAAAGAGGTATAGACTCCACAGAGATTTTACCCCAGTACAAATCATTCGTAAAATCTCATCCAGAATATGCAGTTCAATTTTGAGCACCAATTCACAAAAAGAACATTGGGGAACAGTAGATAGTACAGAGAAGGGCAAACAAACTGATAAAAGGCATGGAGGAGCTCAGCTATGAGGAACTGAATTTATTCTCCCTTATGAGGAGGAGACATGATCAACATGTATAAACACATCAGTGGTTCATATAGTGAACTTGGTGTAGAGTTATTCAACCTTTACGTGTGGAGGGCAAAAAAAAAAATAAAATTTAATCTCCAAAACACGGAAAGGTTTCACCAAAGAACTGTGAAAATTACCCCCTCAAGAGTTGGTTCTGGCCAGCTCAGTGGATTGCTAAAAAAAATAAAAATAAAAAAAAGATTAGATTTTTTTCTTGGACAGAATATACCGTATATACTTGAGTATAAGCCGAGTTTTTCAGCACATTTTTTGTGCTGAAAAACAGCGCCCCTCGGCTTATACTCGAGTCAACGTCTACAGGGGGCTGCTGTCTCTTACCTGGCTCCGGTCCCACGACGATCCAGTCCAGGAAGCGCGGCTGCTCCTTCATTCGGTTCGTCCACTGGATGTTCGCGCGGGCTGCTCGGCTCCGCCTTCTCACCGGTGATTGGCCGCCAGAACTGTAGCTCAGGAAAGGCACACAGGCGGCCAATCACCGGCGAGGAGGCGGAGCTGAGCGGCCCCACGAAAATCGAGTGAAGGAGATGCAGGTAAGTGTGTGCCGTGCTTAGGTGCTGCAAACCACATATGTTGGCTGCAGCAGCACCATACTGGAACAGGGGTCAGCAAGTGTCAGTGGGAGGAATAGTGCCCCATCATTGGTGTCACTGATAACAATGATGGGGCACTATTCCTCCCCACTGACACCAATCATGGGGCACTATTCCTCCCCCCACCCACTGACACCAATCATGGGGCACTATTCCACCCCCACTGACACCAATCATGGGGCACTATTCCACCCCCCACTGACACCAATCATGGGGCACTATTCCACCCCCACTGACACCAATCATGGGGCACTATTCCACCCCCCACTGACACCAATCATGGGGCACTATATCCACCCCCCCACTGACACCAATCATGGGGCACTATTCCACCCCCCACTGACACCAATCATGGGGCACTATTCCACCCCCCACTGACACCAATCATGGGGCACTATTCCACCCCCCACTGACACCAATCATGGGGCACTATTCCACCCCCCACTGACACCAATCATGGGGCACTATTCCACCCCCCACTGACACCAATCATGGGGGCACTATTCCACCCCCCACTGACACCAATCATGGGGCACTATTCACCCCCCCACTGACACCAATCATGGGGCACTATTCCACCCCCCACTGACACCAATCATGGGGCACTATTCCACCCCCCACTGACACCAATCATGGGGCACTATTCCACCCCCCACTGACACCAACGATGGGGCACTATTCCTCCCCCCCACTGACACCAACGATGGGATACTATTTCTCCCACTGACACCAACGATGGGGCACTATTCCTCCCACTGACACCAATGTTGGGGCACTATTCCTCACACTGACACCAATGTTGGGGCACTATTCCTCCCACTGACACCAAAGATGGGGCACTATTCCTCCCACTGACACCAAAGATGGGGCGCTATTCCACTGACACCAATAATGGGGTGCTATTCCCCCCACTGATACTAATGATGGGGCGCTATTCCCCCCACACTGATACTAATGATGGGGCACTATTCCTGCCACTGATACCAATGATGGGGCACTATTCCTGCCACTGATACCAATGATGGGGCACTATTCCTGCCACTGATACCAATGATGGGGCACTATTCCTGCCACTGATACCAATGATGGGGCACTATTCCTCCCACTGACACCAATAATAGGGCGCTATTCCTCCCACTGACACCAATGATGGGGCACTATTCCTCCCACTGATACCAATGATGGGGCACTATTCCTCCCACTGACACCAATGATGGGGCACGATTCTTCCCCACTGGTGTTCCCACCCTCAGCTTATACGCGAGTCAATAGTTTTTCCCAGTTTTTTGTGGTAAAATTAGGTACCTCGGCTTATATTCGGGTCGGCTTATACTCGAGTATATACGGTAACTGGATAGTAACATTTATAGGTTTATCCAGGGAGTTTTTCCCCCTGCAGAAGAAAATTGGATCATGCTTTGCTGGGGGGTTTTTTGCCTTCCTCTGGAAGAACTGTGGGTGTAGGATAACTTTTTTCTTTTTTTTTTTTTTTTTTTTTTTTTTATAAGGTTGAACTTTTGTCTTTTTTCAGCCAGACTATGCAACTAAACTTCTTAAATGCAGAAAATTATAGCAACCAGTCAAAAAATCATACCATACTTGCTCAACTTCAGCTGACTGAATTTGGATTGGCTATTTTTAGAAATTGCGCTCGATATACTCATATGATCAAAGCAGAATTTTAATTCACTAAACAAAGATTTGCCAGCAGGCAACTATCAGGTAGGAGACTTAAGCCAGCCGAGAAAATCTTTTCTAAGAATTTTCGTATCATTAGTGGGTCACAAATGCAGCTGATTTTTGTGTGACATCGAATTTGAGTGCTCAGGCATGTTGGAAGTCTTTTGGGGGGGGGGGGGGGGAATTACTCACTGGCACACAATTGTGTGCATATAAAAAGTGCGTGTGTAAAATTCTACTGGCTAGAATATTGTAGTTCTTATAAAGAATTTGCAGTCATTTGTACATAATAGGTCAGTATGCTCCTCTCCAAACCCAGGTGTGGGTTTTTTTTATGTTCCTGAAGACAGCTCTTAAAACCAAATCTAAAACCCCACAATTTGTAAGGACACATTGGCTGTGTTCAGAGTCACACCCACACACAAAATTAGAAAAAAAAAAAAAAAAAAAAAATTATATATATATATATGTATATATATTCATATATATAGTCTTTTTACTGCTCATGTGTATGGGGGTCCCAAGTCTCTTCTACCAAACACAGTCAGCACATTCGTTATGACGAGAATGGATCTGATTCTAGGGTAGTTAAATCTGTGGGCACCCAATGGCAGAAGCAAGACGACCCAGAATATGACAGCAGTGGCAAATGCTTGCCTGAAAAATGTTAACAGGGCCTTTGCTCTGGGCCAAAACACTACCACCCTCCTCTCTTCCCCAAATATCTCATATAGGTACACTTACCTTCAGTGCAACCAGTAGTGTTACAGTTTCCACTGAGTAATAACCTCTATCAACATAATCACCCATGAATAAATAATTTGTGTCTGGTGATTTCCCTCCAATTCTGAACAACTCCATAAGGTCGTGAAACTGTCCATGGACATCTCCACATACTGTGACTGGGCATCTTACTTCTTGGACATTTGATTCTTTCGTCAAAATTTCTTTTGCCTGTAAAAGATAGAACAGTGCCTTTTTATACTACTACTAGGAATTAAATTACTCAACAGTGCAATTTTGACTGAAAAGGCAGTGACTCCTTTCCTGCCCTGAGAGCCATTACGTAATCTAATATAAAATTAAGGAATACTACAGATCAGGCAGGACACAAAAAAATATAGCAATGCATAATAGGCATTTGACCACCATAAGCTTCTTCTTGAGTAAACACAATGATGCCATATTAAAACAAAATTTGTTGGTCCCCTTCAGCTCATTGAAACAATGCTTCATTCCTCCTGGGAAAAAAAACCCACCATCTTCTCCCTGCAAAGAAATGTCATAATGTGCTAGTATGCATCACATACTAGCACACTGTGAAACACTTACCTTGAAACTAAGCCCTCCAGTGGGGTGCTGTCACAGCTGACAGGGCTTCCAAAAAAGTTAACCTCTCAAAAGAAAAAACAGTAAGAAACATGGAAGAGGCTCAAGTTATGCCTTGGGGTAGTTTTGCTGTGCCTGGCACAAGGAGCCTTAAATATGTGCAGGGCAAAATAAAATCTAAAGAATATCAAGGCATCCTGGAGTGAAAAAGGTACTGTTCAGTCTTAGAAAGCACTGTTTTAGTCACAATTCATGGGTCTTCAAACAGGATAACTACCCAAAACTCAGCTAGAAGTGTGCAAGAATGGCAAAACACAAAAAAAAAACACACACACAACAAATACTGGACTACTGCTATGCAGAGCAATACAAAGCAGCGTGCTGGAGCCAACAGGGGAGAGCTGTATTGTTTACATACAGACCTCTCCCCCTTCAGTGACACTCAGCAATTGCCAGCAGGGAATCACCGGCTGGGACCCGGTGATCAACAGCTGTAGCCACCAATGGCAGTGCGGGTAAGGCGCATGCCCCCTACCCAGAAATACAGCCCGCCGCCCTGTAGAAGTAGTTCTGCTATAGGGCGGTTGGAAGGAGATTAAATGTCTTGGTTCACAGTTAGAGAGGAAGGGCTGGCTGACAGCACTGACAGGCTGCCATGAGGGAGAAAAGAATATCAGGGAGATAAGACACTACCCTTGTAAGTTCTTGCATCTTCCTGGCAGCAGTTAGTCCCATCATCTCCCCTGCTTTTTTTTCCCCCTCCCTAATCTGTTCTTTCCACACAGTGGCATTCTTGTTGCTTTCTTCCCCCTTCAGCAACAGTTAGGCTAGGTCGGGTGTCGGCAACCCGCGGCTCCGGAGCCGCATGCGGCTCTTTCACCTTTCCTGCGGCTCCGGAGCACACTGCCCACCAGGTGACAGGCAATAGGGTCGGCAAGCCGCGGCTCTTTTAATGCAGCTCTTCTGTGTGCCGGGCGCCCGCTGGCAAACATTGGCTGTCAGGATGTAGGCGGGGCAGCGTGACGAACTTCTCTCCTCTCACAGTCCGCCCTGAAGACCAGAACGGCGCGGGAACACAGCAAGAGGAACGCGCGGAGCAAAGGTAAGTGATTTGACACAATATGGGGAATGAATTACTATAGGGGGAATGAATTACTATAGGGGGCATGAATTACTATAGGGGGGCATGAATTACTATAGGGGGGCATGAATTACTATAGGGGGGCATGAATTACTATATGGGGGATGTATTTTCAGTTTTAAAAATGTTTCTCTCAAAATAAATTTCAATCGTGGTTTTGGCGAGATTTGGCTCAGTTGAAAAAAAAGGTTGCCCACCACTGACCTAAGGCTATGATTGTGATTATGACGATACACTGTGGCCCTTATTAACCCTTTGCTTACTGGGCCCTAGTTTTTATTCCTTTATGCTCTTAGCATTAGTAAACTGATAGGAAGATATATCCTATTTACTGGTTAACTTTCATTTCTTCAGTTGCTTCCTGGTTTCTGGCCTAGGCCAAAATGTCATACATCCCGGGAGTCTTCATGGGTATTTTATTCATCAGGAGGAGGGGTTTTCTAAGCAAAGTACACCCTCCTGCTTTTGTGCCTGAGCTAAAGGCGGATTGATTCCAGGAAGTAAATCAATGTTTGTTTCAAGTGTGATTCAGTGTTGTGGTGTTTGAGCCCAAATTACACTATTGCACCACAAGTAGTGCATGTGCTACTTTTGGAAACTCACTGCAGTTGGTACTTATTTTGTTTGGTGCAGGCAAACACTGCATTTACTATCTGTTTGGGGTGTCTAACTTAACATTGACACCTACTGCAGATTTCAACTGCAATGCGTGTCAATGTTAAGTTAGACACCCCAAACAGATAGTAAATGCAGTGTTTGCCTGCACCAAACAAAATAAGTACCAACTGCAGTGAGTTTCCAAAAGTAGCACATGCACTACTTGTGGTGCAATAGTGTAATTTGGGCTCAAACACCACAACACTGAATCACACTTGAAACAAACATTGATTTACTTCCTGGAATCAATCCGCCTTTAGCTCAGGCACAAAAGCAGGAGGGTGTACTTTGCTTAGAAAACCCCTCCTCCTGATGAATAAAATACCCATGAAGACTCCCGGGATGTATGACATTTTGGCCTAGGCCAGAAACCAGGAAGCAACTGAAGAAATGAAAGTTAACCAGTAAATAGGATATATCTTCCTATCAGTTTACTAATGCTAAGAGCATAAAGGAATAAAAACTAGTTGAGATAATTTAGTTCTGCTTTAAAGTTAAATGGCCTTGCAGTGGAGCTGTACCTCCACTGTAAGGGTCAACTACTTGTTTATATCCAAGAGGAACAGTTGCAACAGTTTTTGTTTCCTTAATCCTTTGCTCAAGAAGGCTCCTCTGTGCTGTTAGGCCAGACCCTGGAGACAGTTTCCCTGAACTCTGTAGTCCAAGGTTCTGAGGTTAGGACCGATGCAGGGGCCATAGCCCTGCATGTGGCACCAAGGGACAGTCCACTGATGGAACAGAAGGATGCGTTGTTTGCTGGGAAAGCAGCGGCTCAAGTAAACGTGCTCTCACCATCCTTTAGACTAAGGAAGCTGCAGGGACAGCTCCACTGTAATAGAAGAGTTTAGCTATAAACTACAAAATTAGAACCAATCTGTCAAGCCAAGCTAGCAAAATCTAGTGCTACAGCAAGCCAAAAGGATATTGTGGACATTCACTAGATGTATTCCCGCAGTGCTTATGCAGCATTTTATTACATGCTAAAATTATAATGCCCCCAAGTACCTCAAGGATTAACTTGATACAGCAACTAAACTTCTGCCGTATATTAGGACACACACACACTTAGGATTCTATGCTGGATCCAAGGAAAACAAAAAAAAAGAAAAAAAAGGCCATATCAAGGTGGGTAAAAAAAATCTACGCAAAAATTTAGGTTTGTGAATCATTTTGACAAGAATTCCAAAATACCAGTTAAAATAACTGATGCAGTTTGGTGAACAAAGATAGAGAATACATTTGTTACACACATCCATGGGATATAGATATCTATCTACCTCAGGAAACACCCCATGGGTAACTTCCACCAACAACTATACAGTTGCCACAACACAGAACAAGCACTTGTTGCCACGACAGTTACAGAGTAGGGACTGAAAACCTCACTCCTGTACTTAATGTTTTCAAAATGGCATCTAATGCCACGATGACACAAGAAAGAAAGAAAATAATGTCTATAAATTTAATAAACCAACATTAGAACATTAAACATCTTGTAGCAATTCCAGCCCGAGTTTACACTCACCTGTCACTTTAATATGTACATTTCTTAAACTGCTTGGTAACACGTATTGCTAATCAGCCAACCACATAGCAGCAATTCAAAGCATTTAGGCATCTAGATGTGGTGAAGACCACCTGCTGAAGTTCAAACTGAGCAACAGAAAGGGAATTTAAGTGATTTTGAACACGGCATGCAAGATAGGCTGGCCTGAGTATTTAAAAAACTGCTAATCTACTGGGATTTTCATGCACAACCATCTCTGGGGTTTACAGAGAATGGTCCAAAAGAGAAAATATCCAGTGAGCAGCAGTTAAGTGGACAAAAAAAAAAAAAAAAAAATGCCTTGTTGATGTCAGAGGTTGGGCATTCGATTTCACCTGCAAAATTCAGATGGTAGGGTCAGAATCTGGCATAAACATGAAAGCATGGATCATCCTGCTTTGTACCAATGGTTCAGGCTGGTGGTGTAGGGGATATTTTCATAGCATTAGCAAGGTGTACCTAATAAAATGGCTGGTGAGTGTGTACACACGGAGATTTGCTAAAACTGGTTCCCTCAGAATCTGGTACACCTGTGCATGGTAGCCAGTCAGTTTCTAACCTCAGGTTATTCCAGAACGCTTTGGTAATAAAACGTGGAATTTGATTGGTTTCTACAGAGATGTACACCTGATTTTGCACTCTCCAGCTTTAGTAAATAAACCCCACAATGTGGGGAATATTCAAAACGGAAGCAGCCAGAACATAAAGCAGCTGGGGTGAAATCAGCATGCATAGCAACCAGCTTCTAAGGCACACATGAACAATGTCAAAGGCAGAACGGGTGTTTTCTGCCATGAACTTAAAACACTTGAGCAAGATATGCTACAGGACTTAATGCTCATTAAATGAAGGGGCCCAAATTTAAGGAATAGGACCCCAGCAGAGCTATTCAGTATTAGTTTACATCTGTTAGAACCAAGCATGTGGGTGGAAGAGGCCTCATGAAGTTGACTCTGCTTAAAGTGTAACTTGTCATGGCAATGCCACTAATCCTCAGCTTCATGGGTGTTACTCCCTTTTAACACATTTTTGTTCTTGCTATGTTCTCATTTGCCCTGCTTAGGGATGCTTCCCCAACCAAAGAAAACCTCCTTTGTTATTTCCAGTGTCTAAATGGTGGTGCACACTAGGGAGTTACAGTGGATATAAAACGTCTACACACCCATTAAAATGTCAGGTTTCTGTGATGTAGAAAAATGACAAAAATCATTTCAGATCTTTTTCCACCTTTAATGTAACCTATAAACTGTACAACTCAGTTGAACAAACTGAAATTTTAGG